GTCTAGGTCCGAACACACTCCAGGTTGTAGATTCTACGAAGCTCCTCGGCGTCACCATAGACAACAAACTAAATTGGAAACCACACGTCAGTGAAGTTGTCAAATCTTCCAGTTTCCATCTCCACCTCCTCCGCCGACTCAGGTCCCTCGGAGTTCCTGCACACGAGCTCATCAGTGTTTACAGCTCACATTTCCTAAGCCCCCACCCTGGTCTTCCTCCTAAATGCCACAAACGTAAACACCCAGAAAGTGCAAGAGGCAAGATTATTCCCTCCTACTCCAATATATCAAGAAGCGCTCAACACACTGACCCTTTCGACTCACTGACCATCACCACGACCTCATCTGCAAATTTGGTGAAGAAGTTTTACAACATCCCGACACCGGCTCCTACCACCACCTGAGATCCCTTGTCCGGAGAATTGCTGTTCGACACCAGCCAAACCGCATCCAGCCCAGGCTGTGCACGAACTGATCACAGTAAGAACAGCAGTCCCAACTATCAAAAATTATCAATAATTCAGCAAATCAGCCCACCCCAGTAAACACTGCTCCTTACACTGTCACTATGTTGAAATGAACTGTAGTTTGAGCCTTTCCCCATCTAGTTATTATATGTCTTATTTGTGTCACTTATGTTACTTGTATATTATTTGTAATTCGTAACCCATTCCCCAAATATGTAACTGTATATTTTCAGCCTTCTGGCTGCCAAGCTCTTTCAATAAACCGTTAATTATTATTATTATTATTATTACACAGGGTAGCCACAGTGTCATACACGGGGACAAACACAGGGGAGCCACAGTGTCATACACGGGGACAGACACAGGGGAGCCACAGTGTCATACACTGGGTAGCCTCAGTGTCATACATGGGGACAGACACAGGGGAGCCACAGTGTCATACACGAGGACAGACACAAGGGAGCCACAGTGTCATACACTGGGACAGACACAGTGGAGCCACAGTGTCATACACGGGGACAAACACAGGGGAGCCACAGTGTCATACACGGGGACAGACACAGGGGAGCCACAGTGTCATACACTGGGTAGCCTCAGTGTCATACATGGGGACAGACACAGGGGAGCCACAGTGTCATACACGAGGACAGACACAAGGGAGCCACAGTGTCATACACTGGGACAGACACAGTGGAGCCACAGTGTCATACACGGGGACAGACACAGGGATGTCGCCACGGGGACAGACACAGAGGAGCCACAGTGTCATACAGTGGGTAGCCAGTGTCATACACGGTGGCAGATACAGGGGAGCCACAGTGTTATACGCGGGGACAGACACAGTGGAGCCACAGTGTCATACACTGGGGCAGACACAGGGAGACACAGTGTCATACACGGGGACAAACGCAGGGGAGCCACAGTGCCATACACTAGGCCAGACACAGGGTAGCCACAGTGTCATACACGGGGACAGACACAGCGGAGCCACAGTGCCATACACTAGGCCAGATACAGGGTAGCCACAGTGTCATACACGGGGACAGACACAGGGTAGCCACAGTGTCATACACGGGGACAGACACAGTGGAGCCACAGTGTCACACACACTGGGACAGACACAGGGGAGCACAGTGTCACACACGGACAGACACAGGGAGACACAGTGTCACACACACGGGGACAGACACAAGGAGACAGTGTCACAGACACAGGGGAGCCATAGTGCCACACACGGGGACAGACACAGGGAGACACAGTGTCACACACACTAGGACAGACACAGGGAGACACAGTGTCATACACGGGGACAAACGCAGGGGAGCCACAGTGCCATACACTAGGCCAGACACAGGGTAGCCACAGTGTCATACACGGGGACAGACACAGGGAGACACAGTGTCACACGGACAGACACAGGGAGACACAGTGGCCACAGTGTCATACACTGGGCAGACACAGGGAGACACAGTGTCACACACGGACAGACACAGTGGAGCCACAGTGTCATACACGGGACAGACACAGGGAGACACAGTGTCACACAGACACAGGAGACACAGTGGAGCCACAGTGTCATACACTGGGGCAGACACAGGGAGACACAGTGTCACACACGGACAGACACAGTGGAGCCACAGTGTCACACACGGACAGACACAGGGAGACACAGTGTCACACACACTGGGACAGACACAAGGGAGCCACAGTGTCATACACTGGGGCAGACACAGGGTAGCCACAGTGTCATACACGGGGACAGACACAGTGGAGCCACAGTGTCACACACACTGGGACAGACACAGTGGAGCCACAGTGTCACACACACTGGGACAGACACAGTGGAGCCACAGTGTCATACACGGGGACAGATACAGGGAGACACAGTGTCACACAGTATAATACCGTAATAACAATAAGGATAATGTATGATACAATCTATAAGATTCAGTGTTATATAGCGTGTTTATTGTATCTCTGTTTTTATTAATGTTCTAAAAATAGTTCGGTGTTTGTCATCTTCCAATTAGTAATAGAGTAAATAAGAATGACTAAACTACAACTTTATACATTTACTCTGTAGTTATTATAACGCTCAGTTATATACAGTACATCAGATATTAACGGTAAATTTCGTATGACAAGGATATTCCCACTAATCCGAACTCTTGTTGCTCCAGACTGCAGTTATTCCAAACGTTCTCAAATTCCAACTATTTTGGAGTCCTTCTCGGCCGGTTCGGACTATTGAAAGTGTTCTGCAATATATTCAAGAAGTGCTGGCAATAGCTATACCCTGAGTGATTCTTGTTGCAAATAGTATGAGATCCACACAGACAAAGACACACACACACACACACACACACACACACACTGGAAGAAGTAGTCATAGCAAAAGGGGGGATTTACTGCCATTCCTTGCAGTTTGGTAAAAGCAAGCACAGCTGGCAATTTGGAGCGTTACAAGTATTGTACTGTTGATAAGTCAAATAATCGAGAAATTCATCCTTCTGATAAATTTTAGAAACCGATAAAAATGTCGTCGTAAATGGTGGTCCCAAGACATGATGACCCGTTCAGGACAGTGTCAATTCAACTCAATGTGTACTAAGCCTTTGGTACGCATGGAGGTAGCTTAGCCGACACTGTACTTGACTGCTCTCACTTCCTAAATGTAAGTTAGATATTTACGAGTATTTACAGCTGGGCTGACTGAGAGTTCTCCGGGATCAAACGAGTGACTCTTAAGGTAGAAGGTGACCACTGTATCCATTTGCCTGCCGCACTCGTGTTACACTTTAAGTTTGCTTAAATCATTGAACTTCAATATATCTAAGCTGCTTTCCAGTAGTCTGCAGAAATGTTCCAATGTCTCGTCAAGGAGTTATTTGTATCACTAAGTTCCATAACAGTTCAACAATATTATCTTCTGTGTCGTGAGTTATAATGTGACCAGGTACAGTAGAAACACGCCTCAATGCACCTTTCAGAACAGCCATCAAGCCTGGCAAATTCAATTTAAGTAGTCAATCATGAAGTTCCTTCGTGCAGTAACTATACCCTGTGCTTGACTGTGTAATACATGGTATTATGTTTACCCACAAGAGCCCCATGTATATTAATCAGCTGCTACATAGCATAACAGAGAAAGCAATCAACAACGCATCTTCAGCATTAACTTGAGTTACTGAATAATATATTTGTTATTTAGAACCCCAAATTCTCTCTAAATAAAGATGCTCCACATCCTAACATTTAACAGAAATAACTAAAAGATTTCCATGTTCTAGAAATTTAAAGCTCCTTTACAGACAAGTATGAACTGATCAGTTTTAAGACTGTTATGAAGCCGAACAGACAGACAGCCTGGTGTGTGTGTGTGAATTATTTCAGTAAATCCTTTACTACAGATTTAAAGATCTTAGACAATGGTTGAATATTTGTTTTACGTCAAATATTTCCTGTTTGAGAGGGACTGTTTTATGTGTTATTTTCTAGGAGATGCATTATTTATTATTACCTTCAGAAGCTTGTTAAGGTTGATCTGATGAATCATGTAAGTGTTAGCTGATATATTCAAGTGAAAGAGATGATGAGGCATATTTGTACAGTTCTTTAGGCAATGAACCCCATCCATCTGCTTTGTTAATGAAAACTTATATCAAAACATACGCGTATCTCCTCCCCGTGGACGACACACATATTTAAAATTATCAAGGCTTAAGGTGCTGATATGAGCCAAGAGATCACTGAACACGGTTTAGAGTTTCAGAAAGAGGCTGACCACATATTGCAGTTTCTTCATCTACTACGCCATCAAGCCTAAGACCTTCAGCACTTGGATAATCAGTTATGATCAGAGATATAGTTCGGCAGGGGACTTGCCAACCTTTACTCAAGAGTTATTTCCAGACGCTCTAGTTACGCGATACGAGATGTCAAGGAATAAGAAATGAGAATTTACTGTAATAAACAAAATGTGGAGCATTCCTTATTTTTGTATGCAGTTGTGGGGATTTATTTCGATATTTTTTTAATTCAGAACTAGTATGGTTGAAACTCTGGAGGTTAGGTCATCGTAATGAAATAAAGTCATCGTAGTGAAATAGTAAAGTCATCGTACTCAAGGTATTAAAACAACAAGCTAGTGGGTTTAGTTAGGGAAATTATAGATGAATGTATTCAATATTTTTTAATCACGCATGGTTGAGCATTTTGTTGTCAGATCTCTGTAAAGGCAAAACGCTGACTAGAAATATGTATATAGAAATAGAAATCTAACGACGGTGGCGGCTGGTGGTGGTGGTAACGGCTGCCCGGATATGTTATTATACGGTGCGCCACACACTCCTGGTGACCAAAAGTCACACAAGCCTTTGATATACAACACTGGATTTTTTTATATACAAAATGACACCACTCGTAACACTGCCACCTTCCTGACTCACTGCCACCACCGGTTACGTTGATTCACTGCCACGACTGGTAACGTTCCTCATCACTGCCACCAGTTGGGAATTAATGATTTAACCTTTACAAGGAATTAACCTCAATCTTCAAGGAATTAACTTCCAGCTTCAAGGAATTAACCTCTATCTTCAAGGAACTAACCTCAATCTTCAAGGAATTAACCTCCAACTTCAAGGAATTAACCTCAATCTTCAAGGAATTAACCTCCAGCTTCAAGGAATTAACCTCTATCTTCAAGGAATTAACCTCCAGCTTCAAGGAATTAACCTCTGTCTTCAAGGAATTAACCTCTACCTTCAAGGAACTAACCTCAATCTTCAAGGAATTAACCTCTAACTTCAAGGAATTAACCTCTATCTTCAAGGAATTAACCTCCAGCATCAAGGAATTAACCTCAATATTCAAGGAATTAACCTCAATCTTCAAGGAATTAACCTCAATCTTCAAGGAATTAACCTCAATCTTCAAGGAATTAACCTCTATCTTCAAGGAATTAACCTCCAGCTGCAAGGAATTAACCTCTATCTTCAAGGAATTAACCTCTAGCTTCAAGGAATTAACCTCAATCTTCAAGGAACTAACATCTATCTTCAAGGAATTAACCTCAATCTTCATGGAATTAACCTCCAGCTTCAAGGAATTAACCTCAATCTTCAAGGAATTAACCTCCAGCTTCAAGGAATTAACCTCTAACTTCAAGGAATTAACCTCTAACTTCAAGGAATTAACCTCTATCTTCAAGGAATTAACCTCCATCTTCAAGGAATTAACCTCCATCTTCAAGGAATTAACCTCAATCTTCAAGGAATTAACCTCAAACTTCAAGGAATTACCTCTTTCTTCAAGAAAGTAACCTCTACAAGGAACTAACCTCCAGCTTCAAGGAATTAACCTGAATCTTCAAGCAATTAACCTCTATCTTCAAGGAATTAACCTCAATCTTCAAGGAATTAACCTTTATCTTCAAGGAATTAACCTTATACTTCAAAGAATTAACCTCCAGCTTCAAGGAAATAACCTGAATCTTCAAGAAATTAACCTCTATCTTCAAAGAATTAACCTCAATCTTCAAGGAATTAACCTCTATCTTCAAGGAATGTAAGGGCGGAAACGATCTTCCTGCTGGTTACCGCTGCTAACTCGCTCGTTTGCTGGTGCAGACGACACTTGGGGCGGTTGGACAGAGGTGAGAACGGCAGCAACTATCTGGGTCACAGGCAGATTCAACCCAGCCGCCATACAGTCACTATCTAGCTAGCCCGCTGTCCGTCAAATTCTGGCTGTGATCTCATCATAGGTCCTGGACTCGTGGGCTGTGTTCCCAGACCTTCACCTATCGACTGTCAATTCTCTGGTCATCTACCACTACCGCATACCACGACTGCCAGTTCATCTCATTCCGTCTGTGCCCCGGTGTTTTCCTGCCATTTCAAGACGTCGCTCGAGTGTGGAGTTGAATGGACGCTTCCCTACCCTGAGTGTGCATCACCGTGTTCCAGAATCTTCCCCCAGGGCCACTGCCCTAGGAAATATCTGTTCATTGTTTGATTCTATCAGTTGTTGACTCCCATTAATTGTTTGATTCTTATTAATTGCTGACTCCCTTTAATTGTTTGCTCCCTTTAATTGTTTGCTCCCTTTAATTGTTTGCTTCCATTAATTGTTTGACTCCATTAACTGTTGACTTGACTTAATTGTTTGACTCCCGTAATTGTTATTTGATGTTTGTTGAGTGGTGTCAGAGTTTTGTGTTATATTTTTTATAGTAAAGAGATGTCAATCTCAAACGGGTTGTTTGTTATTCCTCAGAAAACCATGGTCCTTGACTTTCCTTCATTAAGAACCTGATTAGTCTGGTTAGGGTTTTCTATCCCTAAGTCCCAGGTCTTTACAAGTGGCGACCTTGCCAGGATAGTCTCTGACCTTTGGTTTCTGAGGTTTAACATTCGTTCCGGTGTTGTTGTAAGTAGCCGTGAGCGCGCCACTTTGCTGTCTGTGGCCCGGAAGCAAGTGTTGTTCAGTGGTTATCCCTTCCTTCTGTGTGCTAATTTTGTTGCTCTCCCTTGTACGTGGGGAAGTTAATTAGTGTTGGTTGGGGTGCACTGTGGATGCTGTCATAGCATTTTTGTTGTTGTTTCACCTGGTGCGGTTTCGTTACCCTGAGAGTGATTCAGCTGGGCTGGGTGCGGAACGAGGTTCCCTCCAGTCGGATCAAATCATTTACTGGTCTGATTGAGTCACTAGGTGAGTTACCTTTGGCTATTTGCGGGGTAAGTTGTTTGTTTTTTCCTTTGTTCTTGGCCTTTCGGATCATTATGTCTACTTTTGAGGTGTGGAAAGGTCAAGCGGTGGCCCTGGGTCTGACAGGTAATGAGATTGGTCAGTACGTGGTCACCCAACAGAATGTCGAGAGAGAGGCACGTCAGAAAGAGAGCGAGAGCGAGGAACGTCAGAAAGAGAGAGAGGCACTTCAGAAAGAGAGAGAGATGGAGGCACTTCAGAAAGCAAGAGAGTTGGAGGAACGTCAGAGAAAAAGAGAGTTCGAATTAGCTAAGTTGCAGACAGAAAAGGACCTAGAACTGGCTAGGATTAATGCTTCAAGTAGACCAGAATCCTCTGGCCATATACAAGTCAATGTGGTAAAACCCAGCTTGCCTGTGTACCGTGAAGGAGAAGACATCGCCTCCTACCTTATTAGGTTTGAACGGGTAGCTGAGCTACTTGGTGTAGACCCAGATAGCTACGCTGTAAGGTTGGGTAGCCTATTGAGTGGTAAGCCGGTAGAAATTTACACGTCCCTGTCTGCCGACATCACCCGAGATTACTTCTTGTTGAAGCAAGCTCTCTTGCGAGGATTTAACAAGACTTCTGACGGTTATCGTGTTGATTTCCCCAGAACGAAGATTAGAGCAGGAGAAACGTACCAGCAGTTTTCGATTCACCTGGGTCGTTTGTTTCAACAATGGCTGGAGACATCAGGGGTTGAAGAAACCTTTGAGTCTCTCTCTAACTTCATGATATTAGATCAGTTTTTGTCTTCTCTACCTCCAGACTTGAGAACTTTCATCAAAGAATACCAGCCAGCGACGCTTGGAGAAGCTGTGCATCTTGCCGACAACTGGGCGTCTGCTCGCAACGCCTACCCCAAGTCTTCCCCTCCTGTAGTGAAGATTGCGAAGCCTCCGTCCTCCGAGGAACCACCCCCAGGAGTACACAGGAGTAGTTCACCAGTCGTGCGGTGTCACAGCTGCGGAGAAGGGCACATTCGTTCTCGCTGTCCCAGGAATCCCCTCGCCTTCAAGACTGCTGACACTCATCAGCCCAGCAACAAGGTCGGCTTCTGCTTGGAAGACAGGAGCTGCCCCCATTATTGTGTCAGTGGAACAATAAATGGGTTTAGGGCATCTACTTTCATCAGGGACACCGGATGCTCGTGCATTATTGTCTCTGAGGAAGCCCTGCCGGACGCTGACATCTCCAGCTGCCCGAAGGTTAGTGTCGCCGATTATTTAGGTCGGGTTGACCAGTTCCCTGTTGTTAGGTGCTACTTGCGTTGCCCCTATTTCACTGGTTGGTCTAATGTGGTAAGAGCTCCCATTAAATTTGCTAGTGTCCTCATTGGTAATGTTCCCGGTGTTCGTGACCCTAACGACCCGGAGCCGTTAAAACTCTCCTCGCCACCAGCACCAGTCCTCACGCCACCTGCTGACGACGACGACTCGCCACCTGCCGAGGTCGCCTCGCCACCCTCTCACGCCGCCACGCCTGCCGCCAAGGTCTAAGCTGTAGAGACACGGACGGCGAAGGTGAAACGACCGCTTCCCCTGATTCTGCCGAATTTGTTGCCACTGACTGTGACTCCCAAGGAGTTCGCCAAGCTTCAAGACTTGTGTGCCACTCTGAAGCGGGTAAGGGAGAAGGTGACTTCCGGGGAGGAGGATCAGGTGAGAGATGGGTCGGTTTATAAGTTTGTTTCTATTAATGGGGTGTTACACAGGTCTTGTGTTTCATCCAAGCGACCAGCCAAAGTAGGTCGGTTTTCACTTGTTGTCCCTGCTGTTTGTCGTAGTAACATTCTCTCTGTAGCTCACAAGAGCCCTCTTGTAAGTCACTGTTCTCGTAGGAAAACTTATAGGAAGGTTGCTGATCAGTTTACTGGCCAGGTATGGGAGCGGATATTAGAGTTTTTTGTAGGAGTTGTGATCAGTGCCCACGTATGTCCGCCAAGGGTAGAGTCCGTCCTGTTCCACTTGAACCCTTACCCGTCATTGCAGAACCATCTTCTCGGGTAGCCATAAATTTTGTTGGACGATTCTCACCCCCTTTCTCTAAGAAGCCTAAATTACATCAAGCTAATTTGGTAAAGCAATATAATTGCAGGACCCACATTGCTCGTGTCCTTGACGACGTCCCCAAGCTGGAGTTAGTCGAGGCACTACCCTGCAAGAGTTCCTGTGAAGTTCGGACGCCAGAATCTGTTGATCTCGGTTGCCAGTTGCTGCCAACACCTGACGAGATAGAAGAATCCTCTACGACTGGAAATAGGCCCAAACTTAAACTTGGACTGAAGTGAACTCCACGTGCAGTTTCTTGATACGGCCTTACGTTTTGGACATCAAGTTACCACCTATTCTTTTCTATGACCTTTCTTTATTGTGCAATGTGTGTTTAAGCATTTGTTGTAAGATGATTATGCTTTGTGTTCTAATCTTAAGTTTTAATCTACCTTACAGTAGAATTTTGTTGGGGGAGCTGTGTAAGGGCGGAAACGATCTTCCTGCCTGTTACCGCTGCTAACTCGCTCGTTTGCTGGTGCAGACGACACTTGGGGCGGTTGGACAGAGGTGAGAACGGCAGCGACTATCTGGGTCACCGGCAGATTCAACCCAGCCGCCATACAGTCACTATCTAGCTACCCCGCTGTCCGTCAAATTCTGGCTGTGATCTCATCATAGGTCCTGGACTCGTGGGCTGTGTCCCCAGACCTTCAACTATCGACTGTCAATTCTCTGGTCATCTACCACTACCGCATACCACGACTGCCAGTTCATCTCATTCCGTCTGTGCCCCGGTGTTCTCCTGCCATTTCAAGACGTCGCTCGAGTGTGGAGTTGAATGGAAGCTTCCCTACCCTGAGTGTGCATCACCGTGTTCCAGAACCTTCCCCCAGGGCCACTGCCCTAGGAAATATCGGTTCATTGTTTGATTCTATCAGTTGTTGACTCCCATTAATTGTTTGATTCTATTAATTGCTGACTCCCTTTAATTGTTTGCTCCCTTTAATTGTTTGCTTCCATTAATTGTTTGAATCCATTAACTGTTGACTTGACTTAATTGTTTGACTCCCGTAATTGTTATTTGATGTTTGTTGAGTGGTGTCAGAGTTTTGTGTTATATTTTTTATAGTAAAGAGATGTCAATCTCAAACGGGTTGTTTGTTATTCCTCAGAAAACCATGGTCCTTGACTTTCCTTAATTAAGAACCTGATTAGTCTGGTTAGGGTTTTCTATCCCTAAGTCCCAGGTCTTTACAAGGAATTAACCTTATACTTCAAAGAATTAACCTCCAGCTTCAAGGAAATAACCTGAATCTTCAAGAAATTAACCTCTATCTTCAAAGAATTAACCTCAATCTTCAAGGAATTACCTCTATCTTCAAGGAATTAACCTCTATAAGGAATTAACCTCCAGCTTCAAGGAATTAACCTCTATCTTCAAGGAATTAACCTCCAGTTTCAAGGAATTAACCTGAATCTTCAAAGAATTAACTCTATCTA